TCTCACTATTCTGGAGACTGGGAAGTCCAAGGCCGAGGGGCTGCATCTTTTGTGTGCCTTCTTGCTGGGGGGGCCTCTGTTCAGAGACGGGAGGTCGCACAGGGCGTCACATGATGAGAGGAGCACCTATAGAAGACTAGCTTTTATAACAGAACTGCTCTTGAGATAATGCATTCCACTATTCCACTGATCCTCGGATGGATGCATCCACTCACAAAGGCAGAGCCCTTGTTACCTAATCACCTCTTAAAGGTCCCACTTGAGGCCGGTGCCGTGGCTCACTAGGTTAATCCTCTGCCTGCGGCTCCAGCACCCCAGGTTCTAGTCCCGGTTGGGGTGCCGGGTACTATTCCTGGTTGCTCCTCTTCCAGTCCAGCTCTCTGCTGTGGCCCGGGAAGGCAGTGGAGGATGACCCAAGTGCTTGGGTCCCTGCACCCACATGAGAGACCAGGAGGAAGCACCTGGCTCCTGGCTTCGGATCAGTGCATCTCCGACCATAGCGGCCATTTGGGGAGTGAACTCTCTGTCTATAACTCTACCTGTCAAATAAAAAAAAAAAAAAAAAAAAAGAAGGAAAAAAAAAAAGGTCCCACTTGATCCTACCTCTTTTTTAATTTCATTTTTCCTTTATTTATTTTATTTGCAAGACAGAGACATGGGGGTGGGGTGGGGGACAGAGAGAGAAAGAGAGAATGAATATGAATGAATCTGGCTCACTGCTCAAATGCCTAGAAGCCAGGAAATCAATCCTGTACTGCCATGTGGGTGGTTGACCCCAACAACCTGAGCCTTAACCTGCTGCCTCCTCCCAAGGTGGACGTTAATAGGAAGTTGGGACTCAAACACAGGAACTTAGGGGATGGGTGTGTTCCAGGTGGCATCCTAACTGCTACACCAAACACCTGTTCCTGATCCCACCTCTTAATACCTCACAATGGGGATTAGGTTGCCCCGTGAGATTTTGTGAGGGGCATTCAAAGCCTAACAGCAGCCCTAGGACTGAAAGGATAGAGAAAGGAAAAGAGTGTTATCAGATCTCAGTGAGAACTGGTATCGTAGAATGGTGGGGGGGGGTATTTATAATGGCAGTACTTGTGGAGAGGTATTATTGCTACTAGATTTGGAGCCTCGAATCTGGGAGAAGGAAAGAAAGCAATACCCTGACTTCCATCCCTGTGCTTTCTGATTTGCTGCTGATCCAGCTAAGCCCTCCCAGAAGTCACCATTCCAGGGAATGCAGGAGAGGTTGTCTAAGGGGCTGTGTCTCCCAAGAGAACATGGGTGTGAGGATAAGTGATGTAGAACAACCTTGAGCAAGTCAATTTCCCTCCCTAAATTTCCATTTGCTGATCTGTGGAATGGTGCCACCATAGTAATAACTGGCCTTATTGTTTTCACTTCCAACTTTTTCTTTTTAGATGCTTCAAACTTCAAAGAATTTGTAATAGTACCATACACACTCAATATTCTTCACTAGTTTCACCAACTGTTGACATTTTGTCACTGTTGCTTTATTCTTTTCCTCTTTCTTTACTAACACAAATATACGCATAATTTTTTCCTTAGCCATTTGAGAATTATTTGCTGACATCCTGAGATTTAAACTCTGAATATTTAAGTATCACTTGAAAAACCAAGGCCATTTTTCTATAGAACTCCAATCAATAATCACACTCAGGAAATCTGACATTAAGACTTAGGTTTTCCTCACTGTCTCAATGTGCCTTTTTTTTCTAGTCAGGAGTACACATTGGCTCTCATTGTCATATCTCCTTCTTCTTTAATGTAGAATGGCTTTCCTGGCTTTTCCTTGTTTACTCTTTTGTGATTTTAATACTTCTTGAAGAATCGTAGCAAATTTCTCAGAATATGGATTTGTCTGATTATTTCTTCATGATTGATTCAGTTTAGGCAATTTTGGCACTAAGACTACAGAAGTGTTTTTCCTTCTCAATTCACGGTATCTGGAAGTGCATGATATCAGCATACTCCCTGTGGGTGATCTTCAGTTGGATTACTTGTTTAAGGAAGTATCTTCTAGACTTATCAATTATCTTTTCATTTTTATAATTATCAAGTAAACTGTGGGGTGACTTACAGGAATATGTATTTTTTTCACCAGCATTCTTTCACCCAGTGGCTTTTACAATCATTGAATTTTCTTGTGATGACAGAAATAGTTTCATAAAAGCATAATTAGGGAACCTGGTGAGACCTCCTTGAAAGTTCCTATTATAATCCTCCTATCTTCTTGTGTTAACCTGTTTTCATTGATTTGACAAATGTTTCTGGACTGCTCAATTGGTGCCTTGGCCTGGGAGATTTTCATGAGTGGCATCATGGTGGCATAAAAAAATGCCTTCAGATGCTATCCCTCTCCTGTGCTCCAGATTCCTACTAGCTACTGCTTTCAGGTGTCTCCACACTAATGTCCATGGCTACTATAAACTCAGCATGTCCACATGGGAGTCTACATCTTTGCTTCCTGACCTGCCTGCCCTTCCAATTCTTTTATTTCCGGTAAATTGCATTTGTCTTCTAGGTGACACTGAAAAAAAAAAAAAAAAAAAAAAAGGACTCCTATTTATTTTTTGAGTGGCCAACTATCATAATGCAGATTTTATGCACATTACATGCATTCATTATATCAATCCTTGCAATAACCTTGAGAATCAGATGCCATTATCTAGAGGATATTAAGTTCTCAGCACCAGGTCAACAGTTCGCAAGTCTTCATTTTAGGATCCAAATCCAGTGGCTTCAAATCCATAAAGCTTTGCCTGAGTGTAGTGATTAAGAGTATCACTGGCTTGAAATCTTGGCTCTAGTACTAACTTTGCCTTAGTTTTATCCCTTATAAAATGGGAAAAATAATAACCCCTGCCTTATAGGATTGTTGGGAGACTTGAATAAGATGAAACTTGACAAACCTTTGAACAGTTCTTGGAAGCACAACACTATCTCCCAAGCCACAAATTTGGTGTCATTCTAATCTGCCTCCATGTGCTGATTGTGGAGTGGGTCCTTAGGGGCTTTGTCTCTACAACTGTCATTACCTTATTCTAGACCATGGACAGGCAAACTGTGGCTGGAAGGTCAAATCCAGCTTCCACCTGTTTTTGCAAATGAAGTTTTATTCAAACCTAGTCATAACCATTTGTTTTATAATCTATTGCTGTTTTCACCCTAAAGTGGTATTATTGAGTAGGGTCAATAAAGATTTGTTAGTCTACAAATCCAAATGTATTTATTATCTGACCTTCCACAGAAAAAAACTTTCCAATTCCTGATGCCTGGGTATTATAATAGTCTCTGTCCAGGTTTTCCTGGTTATATCTTGTCCCTCATTGAACCCATGCTCCCCAGTCTTTTTTTTTTTCTGTGTAAGGAGGAATTTCCATCAAAAGTGAACTCATGTCGATCTCCTCCTTATGCTTCGCTGGCCCTCACTGGTAAGAGCATCAGCTTCCACCCGCTGCTGAAACCCAGACTAGCCTCCTCTGGCCATAATGAGCTTCTCATGTCCTTTTTAAAAACCCTTGACACACACTGTTCTTTCTGTCTGAATATCCACCCCTTGCTCTTGTACTCAATAATAATCCCAAGTTTCCCTTCTTCTGAGAAGGTTGAACCAAGGGCTCTGTTCCCCCGTGGCTTCAAATAAACTTCTATCCCAGCATTTATCTCACTCTATCAGGATCAAGGGGTTATCTGTCTGTCCTTGCCACTTTTGTGGACTCCTCTGAGAGGCAGGAACATATATTTTTCATTTTTTAAAACCCTCCAGTGCCCAGTCTGAGATCTGTACCATAGTAAGTGCCCATTAGGCAGTTATTGTCTGCTGAGCTGTGGGCTGAGGGTCTCTGTAAGGTGCTATACGGCAGCTCAGGGGAGGCTCCCTGGAGAAGCTGACAACTTAGTTCAGTCCTGGAAGAGAAGGACAAGAAAGATAAAATAAGATAATGGGAGGAAAAAGGCAGTAGGAAGTCTGGGTAAAGGTGGTAAGACCTGAGAGAGGCACGTTAGAGAAATGACAAGCAGAAAAAGGAGCACATGAAGGAGTGCTGAAGACAGGCTGCAAAGGGAAGCCTAGGGCCACATCCGCAGAGCCTCCTTTGCTGTGCTGAGATGCATGGACAAAGGGATACCAGGAGGGACTGGAGCAGGCAAACACTACTCTCTGCTCACATTCCTGACACGTCAGCGCTCTAGAAGCGTTTTAAGGCATCACTTATGTTTTTGTCTCGTCCTCATTAACTCCCAAGTACACAGAATTCCTGATATAATATAGATTCTCAACAAATATTTCCTTCATTGTTTGAACACTCTCCAGATTGAAGAAATTCCTTGAGGTTTAGTGTTCTTTTATTGAATAAACATTCATCCCATCTATAGCTTCCATAAATTTAAGAACTCTAATCATCTTTAACTGTAGCTTTTGGAGTTTTCTGTCTCAAAAATTTCTATTAGGAGACAAATATGTCTTCTTATGGAAGTTTTGACTCTCTTGGATCATTTTGGCTGACTTTTCCTGGACCATCTCCAACTCTGTTTTGTCTTTGTTGAGTTGAGTCTTTTTAAGAATGTTTGCTTCTTTCCTAATCTGCAAAGCCAGATGCAAATTTTCTTGCTCATTTTTTTTCGGTTTATTTATTGGAATTTTTGTGTTTCCTTTCAACAAAATGCTGAATGAATTAGCAGAAATAAACTGTTCTTTGTAAAGCATGCCAAGGGACCCTTAGAAGCATGGTGCCTCAGAACACAGAACTTTTAATAATGATGTCCATGGATTAATTTTGTCTTTAGCCCAAGGGATCAGAGAGCTGGCAGTTCAGCTGTTTTGGGGATGTCAACAAAATGAATTGGGTGGGTAAAGATGCCCAGACATTTGGATAAAACTGAGATCTAGGGGGACCCCTGTACTCCAGGAAATTCTCCAAGTCTCCACTTAGTTATCCAGATCTTCAAAATGAACACGAATCTTCAGTTTCAAATTGAGTACATTTTCCATCCATGGATTGGCTTGTTTTGTTCAGTTTTACTTTGAGTGTTTGAGGTTGTCTTTTCGACGTAACAGCTAAACCCACGGCTTCCTTTCTCGTAAAACCAAAACAAAAAGGCTTTCTATTCAGGTACCTTCTGTGTGTGCACATGTGTAGTACCTATCTGGGATCAAAGCCGACTATATAAAGTCCTTGGTTCTGTGTGGGTTCAAACACATTTCAAAGCTTCAGGATCCTGAAAGGTTTCGCTCTGCTTCCTGAAGACCCAATACGGCGCCCATAAAGCCATGGCTCGCCTTGGATTCCAGAGGCAGGGGACTCAGCTGGATCTGGCTTCCAGGACTTGGTCCTGCGCTGCCCTGTTTTCTCTTCTCTTCCTCCCGGTCTTCTCTAAAGGTGAGTGAGACTCTTGGAGCATGAAGGTGGAGGAGGTGTTTCTCCCACCTGGGTTTCATTTCTTTCAGCAGTCAAGGACAGTGATTTAGAGGATGCCAGAAATTAAAGGTAAGACTCCAGTCTCCTAGCTTGGGTGACTGTCTTCCAAGGCAAGCAGGGAGCAGCTGGCAGCAGTAAATGCGTGGAGACCTAGCTCACTGCACAGTGCTAGGTATTTAGCAGCAGTATAATGAATATGTGTGAGTTGGATTGGGAGACACAGGCAATTTCAGACACTTTAATAAAACTGGAAGCAAACACTGTAAAGGTAAGAGATTTAAAAGGGAAAAGACATCTGCAGTCCTGAATAATAATTTTGATCCTGATATCAAGATTTTACTTTTAAAAACATTGATTTACAGAAATCATAGAAAGAGTTCCTTTCCTATACAGTTCAAGGTTTTAACATCCTCTAATTCATTTTATAAATGAATAAGCCAGCTTGCTTAAAATTTAAGGAAATCATGCTATAAACACCTTTTAAAGCTAATTCAAGGTTCTGAAGGACCCTTAATCAGTTCTAAAAGCAAGTTAGCCAATTATTTTTAAAATGAAGTAGCTTGAAATTGCAAAACAAAAAGGAAAGAAGCTATTAGTCTTGCTGGCACAAAGTACTTAATTGCTGCCTGGCCATGTGGATTTCAGATGTAGATGCCCAGTTTTCAAAGGAAATAAGACTCTTTAGAGTTCTTACCTGATTTGTGACTGACCCAGTTTAAAATACTAAGCATTCCCACTGAATCGCCACCTTATCGCTCTCTAGACCTTCTGGATTAGGGAACCATGTGGTTTTTATGAAGTAAATAGATGCTCAAAAGATATTTGATGATACAAATTTTACTGGAGAAGTAACATTCTCATACAACTTATTCTACATGTTTTAAACATGCAAAGATTAAATACCTGTAGAAGTATTCAGATTTCCTTTTTAGCCAATTTATTTCAACTGTTAACTAGGAATCTCCCACAGTGGATTCCTGGAAAATCGAGTGTGACTAATCTAGTGTGGCACATGCAGGCTGACCGAGAGGATAGGAAATTTGGGTTTCCTTAGAGTCTATACAAGAAGATTATTTATTAGAGAGAGGTTGGGGAGGGGGTGGACAGAGATCCTATCAACTGGTTCACTTCCCAAACGCCTTTAATAGCTGGATCTTGGCCAGGGCCAGGAACTCAATTCAAGCCTCCTTTGTGGGTGAAAGGAATCCAATTACTTGAGCCTCCATTGCTGCCTCATAGGGCCTGTGTTAGCAGGAAGGTGGAATCAAGAGCTGGAGCTGAGTATTATACCCAGAAACTGATGTGAATGTGGGCATCTTAACTGATGTCTTAACTATTAGGTTGAATGTCCATCTCCAATAAAGATTATATCCTGCCCATCTGACATGAAGCCACTGATCAGGCAGGGTATAACTACAGCTCCCCAGAGTTTATGAGCCAGAGGCAGAAGATGGGGAAGGTAAGACTAGCTCACAGAAGCTTTAATACGGGGCAGAAGCTGATTTAGTTACGCAACGGAGTCATCACAGTGCAAAGGATGCTCAGAGGGCTCCTCTGACAGTAGAAACGAGGGTTGGCAAAGGAGACTGCTGTCTACCCTGCCAGAGCTGCTGGAATAATCATGGCAATGGCAGATGCTGCCTGGTGTAAGTGCGTGGTAGAAAGGACTAATGTCCTTTGTTTAGGATGATATATAGGCAGGAAAAGGAGCCCTTTAAACTCAGACTGGAGGGATGCCTTGGGATTGAATATGGAGGGCACTGGATATTATTTATTTCATTTGTCTTTCTAATCAATGCTAGTGAAGTGTCAAAGAGTTTTAACAGATGAATAAATCATTTAATTCATGTTTTGGGTGTGACTTGGAAGGCTGACCAGAGAGGGGCCAGGTTAGTTACAGGAAGATCATTTAAAGTGAAGCCATAGTTTTGTAGATGATGTAAACTCTTTGTATGGAGAACAGGTCTCCTTATCCTGTGGAAGTCAAAAGGAAAAGAAAGAACAAAGGAGGATAAGAGTGTTCATGAGAAGGAGACAAGGAGGGCGGAAGAGGCGGTGGTGGCGGTGCAAGGGGAAGCCCACAGAAGTTAACAGCAGGGTTGCCTCAACCTAGAGAGGAAACGACCTGGTGCCCTCAGCTCTGTGGCTTCCCTCATCTAACAGTATCTCCCACTGGAGAGGGCCTAGCTGGCACAGTGAGCCTCGGCTCAGCTGCTCTTTGGTGACAGAGGTACAGGGCCAGCAGAGGTTGCTGAGGTGTGCTTAGAGAAAAGGCAAGATTCTGTACCCAACTTCTAGAATTTCCTCCATTACTCACTGTAGTTCTTGAATATAGTTCCTGTAGTTCTATCATAGTCTTAGAATATCAGGGTTGGGGCCGGCGCCGCGGCTCACTAGGCTAATCCTCCGCCTTGTGGCGCTGGCACACCGGGTTCTAGTCCCGGTCGGGGCGCCGGATTCTGTCCCAGTTGCCCCTCTTCCAGGCCAGCTCTCTGCTGTGGCCAGGGAGTGCAGTGGAGGACGGCCCAAGTGCTTGGGCCCTGCACCCCATGGGAGACCAGGAGAAGCACCTGGCTCCTGCCATCAGATCAGTGCGGTGCGCCGGCCGCAGCGGCCATTGGAGGGTGAACCAACGGCAAAAGGAAGACCTTTCTCTCTCTCTCACTGTCCACTCTGGCTGTCAAAAACAAAACAAAACAAAACAAAACAAAACAGAATATCAGGTTGGAAAGCCCTTTGATAATCAGCTGATCTAATCTCTCACTGTATGTGAGAAAAATAAAGGCCACAGGGGAGCACGGTTTGCCCAAAATCATATATTTGATCAAAGAACCAGAACAAGGCCTCTGTTTGTCACATCAGCGTTCTTCCTGCCATAACCAGTAATCTTCAAGAAACTAATTCCCAGGGCCAGCGTTGTGGCACAGCAGGTTAAGCCTCTGCCTGTAACAGTGGCATCTAATACGGGAGTGCCAGTTCAAATGCTAGCTACTTCACTTCTGATCTAGCGCCCTGCTGATGCACCTGGGAAAGCAGCAGAAGATAGCCCCAATACTTGGGATCCTACCATCCACATGAGAGACACAGATGAAATTCCAGGCTCTTGGCTTTGGCCTGGCCCAGCCCCAGATGTTGCAGCCATTGGAGAGTAAACCAGTGGATGGAAGATCTGTCTCTCTCTCTCTCTCTGATACTCTGCCTTTCAAATAAACACCAATAAATATTTTTAAGGAAACTATTTACCAACAGGGAAACATATTTATGGACAGCAGCTGAAAAACACTGAGATGGAGGGGAAGCTGGGATGGGTGGAGAGGTGAAGGGGTAAAAGAGGATGATAGGTTTGCTGAAGGGAGGGGGAGGGCTTTAAGGAGAATCTGGAGAGTGCTCATCAAAGGTAAACCTTCCCCAGTTGAAGGTTTTGCTTGTGTCTGGCCACAAATGAGCACAAGTTCACTGAGTTCCCTTTGGCTTTTTCATGTTAGCACTGCATGTGTCCCAGCCTGCAGTGGTTCTGGCCAGCAGCCGAGGTGTCGCCAGCTTTGTGTGTGAGTATGCATCTTCTCACAAAGCCACCGAGGTCCGGGTGACAGTGCTGCGGCAGGCCAACAGCCAGATGACTGAAGTATGCGCCATGACGTACACCGTGGAGAATGAGTTGACCTTCATTGATGATTCTACCTGCACTGGCATCTCCCATGGAAACAAAGTGAACCTGACCATCCAAGGGCTGAGTGCCATGGACACGGGGCTCTACATCTGCAAGGTGGAGCTCATGTATCCACCACCGTACTATGTGGGCATGGGCAATGGAACCCAGATTTATGTCATTGGTGAGCAAAGCCATTTCTCTTAATTGATACATTTTGCATTTTTTTTTGCATGAAAACAGTTTTGTTCCTTAGTTTGACATGGTGTAATTTTAAGACTATGGAAATTTTCTATAACTTCTTTACCATCTAGTAGTCTTGCTTATCATGGATGGCAACCTAAACAGCATTGTGACTATAAGATAAAGTGAGTTCTCCTGGCAGGTTTGGGAACTCACCTGGAGTGTTAGTCTGCATGAAGTTTGGCCTCGTTCCTTCCATATGACACTCCTATGGAAGTAGTCTCAGCCAGACTTATCTTTGGGCTACCAATATAATTTAGGGGAAGAGTCAATTACCAACTGATGGGGCATGAAGGCCCTAGGATTTAATGAAGGTTTACAGGGAGGCTCTGCTTTGTCTTTTGTGCAGATCCAGAACCATGTCCAGATTCTGACTTCCTCCTCTGGATCCTTGCAGCCATTAGTTCGGGGTTGTTTTTTTACAGCTTCCTCATCACAGCTGTTTCTTTGAGCAAAATGGTGAGTGTGTTGCTGACAATGCTCCATGTTTATTGGGAATGCCTTTAGTAGCATCAGTTGACCAAACGATGGTTTTCAGCTTAGTTTTCTTGAGACAAAGCAATAAATGAAGAGGAGGAAGGACAGTAGTAAAGAACACACTAGACCCCTAGGTATTGACTTTTGAGGTTTCAGGATGACTAATACTTTAGTTGAATGTGTTTGGCATTGAATGTTTGTGTGCTCCTGAACAGGGTTTCAGTTTGAGTAAGCATTTGAACAACATGGGGCAGCTGTCTTGTTCTTTGTCTGCATGATGACTGAACTTAAGTTAATAACCCTTGAAATACTGGGATAGGCTGGGCAAAATACTGTTAGAGAGGTCCACCTGGATAGATTTGGTTCTCTTAAATGTCCCGCTACTTCACCTAGAAACCATTGCTTTTGCGCTCTGGCTTCCCTATCTAAGCTGTCACCGCCCGCATGACACCTGTTCCTTTTATGCAATCTTCTTGATGAGGGTATCTTGCCTTCCCCTCCTGCTCATTAAATGAAAGACCTAGATTTTATTTACTTCCATTTTTGGTGGTGGAAAAGGCAGAGGTATGGAATCAGGGTGCCTGTTAGAATTTCTTTCTGACAGTCTCTCTCAGTCAACCCTGGCTAAGGCTGGCTTTGCCACTGTAAACTCACCCCACCCCCATTTCCTCCCTGGCCTTCTCCTCCTCCTCTATACCTCTCTGTCTCTCTCACATGCATAAAGACACGTTCTCTAGTATGAGCCTCCTCTTAGTCTGACAATGATGTTATATTGCTGTAGGTTCTTCCTACTTTGTTACCTAAACAGAGGCTAGTAGACTAGACTTCAATTTACTGAGGTGATAAATACTTGGAACTACTGTAGACAGAGAAAAAGTGGTAAAGAAAATATGAAGGGTGCTGATGAGAAATACAGCTCTCAAACAAAATAGCAAATGTTTATTATACCATCAACCTTGGTCCCTCACAGACAAGATCCAGTCAAGTATCACAGGCATTCTAAATGAGTGTTCTTTGGGAAGTTTTCTCCAATTCTCTTTCATCTATCTTCTAGTCAGGGAAAATGACAGCTATTTTACATCAAAATCATGGAGCAATTTATCTAAAATGCAGTTAATAGCTGAATCAAGAAAGCATCCTGGGGTTTATAATTGTTTGCTATGAACATTCATTTTCAAAGGGGGACCGCAACAATATTTGTTGGGCCCTATTCTACTTAGGCTTCTGTACTCTTCCATAATAATGACTGTTTCTTCTTGTCTTTGACAGCTAAAGAAAAGAAGCCCTCTCACAACAGGGGTCTATGTGAAAATGCCCCCAACAGAGCCCGAGTGTGAAAAGCAATTCCAGCCTTATTTTATTCCTATTAATTGAGAGGCGATTTATGAAGAAGAAAGACCATGTTCCAATTTCCAAGAGCTGAGGCAATTGTAACTTTTTGGCAATCCAGCTATTTTTATTTGTTTGTGTATTTTGGGGCAATTCATCCCTCTTTAATATAAAGATGGATGCAGAATCCAAATTAAGCATGCTAAAATTTAAAGCAAAGGAGCAGGAAAGCAGAGTTCAGTCATGTCTGATCTAGTTTTATTAAAACATCACTTGGGAGCAAAATGAGGATGCAGCATTACAATGTAAGTTCAAGTCAATAAGTTAAGGAATGGCACAGTTCAAAGAAAAAGCAGAAGGGAGTGAGGGAGAAGACTATGTTGTCCACACCTTGTTTTTGACGTGTGAGACATTTACAGCTGAAATGATCTTTTCGAGTTAAATTTTGTCATGTTATTTTTCTTAACAAAAATATAAATACATGAAGACTTTAAAAATACTCACATGGCTGTTTTGGCCTGTGATTGCAAAGGTTGTATTGTACCAATATGTTTTTTTTTTTTTAATCTGATAGTATTGTGCATGGGGGTCACATGTGCTTTTGCGTATTTGCTGATCGTCTGAATACAAACACTATATGGCAGTGTCTTCCCATTGCGGATTCTAGGAAAGTTTTGTGGAGGCGCTCAGGACACTAATACATGAGGTAGAATACAAGGTCACTTGCTAACTTGTTCGTAAACTGGAGGAGGTCACTGGAATACTCAACTGTACTGAAACATAATTTAAATTGACACAGCTTTGGGCTGTTATGCCAGCTCCTTCCAGTGGTTTGCAAGGAAGCCCATACTGGTATTATCTGTTCAACAGAACACTGTGGTCAAGACGATGGCTCAATCCAAGAGACTTGTAAGTGGAACCAAATAGGAAGCTCCAGTTCCATGGGCTCGATTCCTTACACACACATGGTTAGTGTCATGGACGGAAGAAAGCAGCAGGTGGCAGAATGTGTGCATGGTTTCTGAAAACTAACACTGTTGGTGTTTTTTAACTCAATATTTTCCGTGAAAATGCAACAACGTGTATAATATTTTTAATTAAATAAAAATCGGTGGTGGTCATATATCAGATATATCTTTATGATCCTTGTGTTTGAGTTTGTTTTTGATTGATTTACTCAGTAGTTGGTAGAGTCTCCAATATCAGAAATACTGGAGACAAACAGGAAAAACACAAAATAATGCTTCATGAATCAGCTATACCCCAGCCCGTTACCTACATGCCATTCTTGGAAAGAAGACATCCTCCTTCCTTCTAATTTCTTCACAACTGTTAGAGACATAATGTGAGTTCACATAGATGTGGCAGTCCCTTATAATCACGTGGCAAGCTGTTTAGCACCTCCTCTTTCTTACAGCTTTCTCAGCTCAATAGGCACAGCTACTAGGGTTGCCATGGCAACCCTGAGGTTGTCAGCTGCACCCCTAGCAGCCATTGTGGTCTGCCTTTGTGGCAAATGGAGGTTTTCCTTGCGGTTTCCAAATGGACTGTGTCGCAAATGTGGGGAAAACACACCTGTGGTCCTAGGTTGCTATCAGCTGATAAACCTGGGCTTGGCCCACTGAGCTTCTTGATTTTTGGTTTACCAATTGATAACTTCAGCCTGCTTGGTTTCCACTTAAGGTTTTATATTCTTGCACTCAACATCCTGTTATTATCTTGGGTAGTGATTCTCAGTGTGGTCATGGACCACCTGTAACTGAATCCACTAGGTAATTTATTAAAAACAATGATTCAAGGGCTTAACCCCAGGTACACTGATACAAAATATTTGGATGGTAAGGCTATGAATTTATACTTTCAAGAGGCTTCCTAGTGTTCATGTATCCATCAAGTTTAGAGAATTGATGCTTGGACAACTCACTCTCTCTCAATCTCTCTTTTCCTTGCTCTGCTCTTTATCTTTCTTTGTTTCTCCAGCAGGTCCAACAAGCAAATGAGACAGCAAAATCTAATCATTCCATAAATGAGTAGGTCTTTCTAAATAAGATAATGGTTATTACTTAGAATGAGCTCCTACTATGTGGAAGACAATGCTGCTTGCTCTGTTGGCCTTTCTTGGCAGCTGGGAAGAAATGCACAATTTGGTAGCCCCTGTGTAGAATGCGATCCCATTTCCATTCCTGCAAATGTCTTCAGAGAGGTCAATGGAGAAGGTCTCAGGGCCCTCAGAGGTTCCTTTCAGACACCATTAGATAATAGACCAGTTTACATAATCTTAGTGTCTCCTGCATTTCCTGAGATTCTGCCATTTACTATTCATTGAGTATTGTCCTCTTCACTCAGTCTCAGTCTTGCAAAAAATAAAATAGGAAGCTCAGAGAAGTTTCCCCTATGGCAGAAGAATTAGGGAAGAAAGATTGTGATCTGAGGTTCTGTTGACAAGGGCAAAAGAAAATATGAGGGTAGACGCCAAATGAAAGCTTAGTCCTCATTTTGCTTGTGGGCATATATCGTTTGACTGCAGTACTCAGAGAATGCATTGCACCAAATCAGAGGACAACTGTTGCATGGTGTTCTAACCATCATCATAGTCACCTGTGAGATCAGAGTCGTGGGGAAGCACAAAGGCTCCATATCTCTCAATGAGGGCTCAGCTTACCATGGAAGGGGAGCCTGTGCACTGTCACCCTCCTGCCCAGAACCACCTGTCCTTGGGATGACATGTCCCAGGCACCACATGTCTCAGGCACGAGTGTTTGTTAGGGGAACAGAATGAGCTACTGGAGTTGGGGAGCTAGGACATCCCAGACCAGGGTAAGGATAACTGTTTTCTTTGCAGAACCTATCTGTATTCCCTTAGGCAGCTTCAGCCTAATCTCTTCCCTATTCGGTCAGCAGAACTGTGTGTACATGTATCTACATTTGGGTTTAAGCCTTTAAAACTCTGGAATGTGTGGCCGGTACCGTGGCTCACTAGGCTAATCCTCCGCCTGCAGAGCCAGCACTCTGGGTTCTAGTCCTGGTTGGGGTGCTGGTTCTGTCCCGGTTGCTCCTCTTCCAGGCCAGCTCTCTGCTGTGGCCCGGGAAGGCAGTGGAGGATGGCCCAAGTGCTTGGGCCCTGCACCCGCAAGGGAGACCAGGAGAAGTACCTGGCTCCTGGCTTCGGATCGGCCCAGTGTGCCGGCCTTGGCAACCATTTAGGGAGTGAACCAATGGAAGGAAGACCTTTCTCTCTGTCTCTCTCTCACACTGTCTAACTTTGCCTGTCAAAAAAAAAAAAAAAAAAAAAGACTCTGGAATGTGAACTACAGGGGACTATGCTGCCCCACACATTTCTCTTTTATCTTTAAATACTTCCAGTATGTTTTTTAAAATTTTCAATTTCATTCTCTCTCTTTTGAACTGTGGGTTGCTGCTAAAATCAACTATCTTTTTATACCCAGTCTGGGACTTCTTCCATATCCACTGGTGATACACACTTAATTAACTTAGTTGAGCTGAACTTGCAAATGTTGATGTCACTGTCTAGTTCCCTGGAACAAAGCCAATGAAGAAGTTCAACAATTTATAAATTTGAGTTATTGTTTGGCAGGTCTCAAAGCAGAAGAGAAAAAGGGTTGCTCTGAAAGTTATTCTGATTGCCTCACTTCTCTTTTGTGCCTGATTAAAGCCATGACTCAGGTTCCTGTGAGGCCTTGTTTTATTTCACATGTGTCTATCTCATGTCTCAGGTCAAATTTCTCTCCAGTTCAGAAAAATGACACACCCTCTTGATGAAAAAGGAGCAAAGGCTCCTCTTTTCTTTTTTTATGTTTCCTTGATTCTAGACTGGGATAGGGATTAGTAGATAGTTTTTGCAAGGTTCAGTTCAAAGAAACACCACAAAAACAAACAAATAAAAATCCAGTACACCCTGTATTTAACTCTGACAACCCTATCAGCAGGACAGTTTATACATCTAATGCGGTATGCATAAGGACTGTGCTGGCGGTCCTCCTCAGAAGTTTCTGGGCAAGAAGACATGAAGACTGTGACCACTGTTCCGATCTAACACAAAGTCTTGTTCCTATTCCTGGGAACATCTGCACTGATTTGTAGCACTGAGGGCTAATGGGTCCTGAGGAGGAGGCAATTATTTGTCTTGTAAGCAACTTTCCTAGAAGTTGTTCAACCTACTCTAGTGTTTATGGCGTGGAGCTGGACATTCAGACCCTTCTTGGAAATATTTGCTTTCAAGAGTGTACTTTATCATGGATGTTTTTATATTTATTGTGCATAAAAATAATCTGGAACATTTAGAAAGTGCTTCAGACCCAGAGCTTCTCGTTTATAGAACCTGAAGCTGAGCCTGGGGACCCCATTCTTCAGTGGGTCTTTGGAGTGTACTTTTAGCAGCTCAGGTTTCACTCAGGATCCAATCACCCTAGACAATTTGGATTAGAGAAAGGATCTTGGAAATTATCTTCACTTTTTAGAAAAACAATCAGGATCAGAGACATCAAGAAACTTGTCTAAGTTCACAGAGCTGCGGAGGATTTGAACTGGCCTGAGAAGTCACATGTTCCGATTTCAGCCCAGGGCTCTGCAGTGGGTGATGCTCTGAACCTTTCGGTTGCTTCCAGAGGGTCACTGCCACCCCTTCACATCCCCCCTAGAGAACCAGTCACTCCCACCACCACCCCAGGGCTCCTGTTAAGCTTGTGGTGTGATCATCACCACCACTGCCAGCCTGATACTGGTTCCATCTTTTCTCTCTCTTAACCTTCCAGGGCTTCCTGCAAGAGTCTTAGATGACCTTAGCAATGTCCTTGGCCTGGCCTTAGCAATCCTACAGGAAAACACTCCTGGGAACACAGAACAGACCATGACAGTCAGCAGTCTGTCAGCAAAGCCTGCAGAACCCTGGGAAAGTTTCTCAGTTCTGCTGGAAGTCATGTAGCAACCATGGAGATGATACATGCTCTTTTTATCATACACAATCATGTCACCATAGCAACCCATGGTGTTTCAAAAACATGATATTAGTAACACAAAGTGCTATTATCTACTGGAACAAAAAGAAGAGACTCTCTCTTGGGGAATTGCAAGCTATATCTCAGGAGGCAAGTTCAAATTTTAGAAAGCAACACAAATGAATTCTCATGAGCAGTACTTTTGTGAAGGACTCTGTCTTTTCTTTTTTGCTGTACCCTGACAACATTTTAGTGTATGCTGCAGTCACTCCTCTGTTAGCTTATTTCCCTCAACTTATTGAAAATGAGTTCTGCTTTCCTTCTTTGCAGCTAGCTAGAAACTCGAGTGCAGTTCTGAGTCTCCTGCAAGCATCTTTTTTGCCCTTAGCAGTTCAAAGTTTTCTTCAAGCACAGCCAAACATTAAGGAAAGGAAGCTTGGGTTTGTGAATTAAGACTATGATTCTCTTGTATTCTTTTCCTTATTCTGAATGAAGAGGGAAAGGACATCAGTTAACGAAGCCCCAAATACTACATACATGGATGTGAAGTAGCTAAAGCAGTTTCACAGTGCTCCCGCAAAAAGGGGTTGTGCCATCAGCTCCACCTTACAGATGAGAAAACTGAGGTTAAGAGAGGTTTTCTTACTTGCCAAAGTCACAAAACTGCCAAATGGCAGGGTGTGTGTGTGTGGGCAGAGAAAGTGGAGAAAAGAGAGAGAGAGAGAGAGAGTGAGAGTGAGAGAGAAATATCTTCCATCCACTGGTTCACTGCCCAAATGCCCACAACTGGAGCTGAGCCAGATTGGAGCCAGGAGTTGGGAACTAAGAGTTCAGGTCTCCCATGTGAGTGTAGGCCCTCAATTACTTGAGCCATTACTACTTCTTCCAGTAGTAGCTTTCATGATTCACATTAGCAGAAAATTGGAATCAGGAGCTGGAGCCAGGAGTTGAACTCAGGCACTCATATATAGGGTATGCACATCTTAACTGCTAATCTGAATGTCTGCTTTCAAGAATGTGTTTAGAGTAAATTCTTTTTTTTTGCTTGTTTAGATTTATTTATTTATTTGAAAGGCAGAGTTACAGAGAGGCAGAGAGAGAGAGAGAGAGAGAGAGAGAGAGAGAGAGAGAGAGAGTCTTCCATCTGCTGGTTCACTCCCCAGACGGCTGCAA